CACAAAGAGATTTCTAGTGTGTGTGTGTGTGTGTGTGTGCACGTGCATGTATATATATATATGTGTGTGTGTGTGTGTGTGTGTGTGTGTATACACATACATATATATACATACTATATATATGCATACATACCACTATGACAAAGGATAATACAATTTCCTGGTTTGAATTGTATGTTAAAAAATGCTTTTCTGAGATGCTGGCTTTGTACATATATTCATTCTTGACTTTACCTTGAAAAAAACTACCAACAATTTTAATAACAAATAAATAATGTTATATATCTATCTATATATATATATATACACACACACACACACATATATATATATATATTTAAAAATTGCATAGATTTTGTGTTTTATGTATAAGCTTCATGAATATCTCTTATGAATAGTGGAGTAAAGCAGGATATATGTAATATCTGAGAATCATTCAGTTTTAATTGTGAAATGATTTAGGATATACAATCTGTGGTACTCTTTGGTAATACATTTGCTACTTCTTAAAAAAGGTAAAAAGATAATTTTAAACTATGTGCATTTTATCTCTAGTTAATATAGTACAGGTTGGATATCCTTTATCAAAACGCCTGGGACCAGTATTATTTCAGATTTGGAAATATTTTTATATACTCAATGCAATATCTGATGAACAGGATCCAGTTTTCAACACAAAGTGCATTTATATTTCATATGACCTGATACACCTAGCTGGCAGTAATTTTATATATTTTTAGTTCTCCTGTGTTTTGACTGTACAAGCTTTCACATGAGGTCAGGTGTGGATTTTTCCACTTGTGGCATTAAAAAGTTTTGGATTTCAGAGCATTTCAGTTTTCAGATTGTGGTGTTCAACCTGTAGTACAGCTATTTAAAACATAATAATGTATAATGCTTTATTATTTTTATATTTCTAGGAAAGCAACACTAGAGGAAAAAACACACTATTATAGATCAATAGAATGTTAGTTCTTCTCTTTAGTGAGCATGTAAAGTTAGATTTATAATTTTTTGTGTTTATAAAAAGAAAATTTAATACCATCATGTATGTTATTAATAATGAAATGGATTATGAAATAGTTTTCAGTTATTTTTAAAAAAATAATAAATAATTAAAATAGTGTTCTTATTGACCTAGTTTTCAATGATTGAAAGGCTTTTCTTCCCCTGGAGTTGTATTTTCATTAGCTCTCAGTTGTCATAGGCAGCATGCTACTTTAAAGCTGAGTCAACATAAGAATTACACTTATTTAGAAAGAGCTGCAAACTACATTGTCAATTATTATTCATTCTTGTGTTTTCTAATCTCTGACCTTCTGTCCTCCCCTGACATATTTCTGTTTTCTATTCCTTTTTCACTTTTTCATAAACATTCTGTTCTCATCAGCACTGATAGAGTGGCCTGTTTCCTTAGTTTTAGAATCTTTTGACCTTTTTGTTTACAAGAATGAGGAAATGACTTGTAAATCATAAAGTATTTGATTTTTTTGTGTATGTGTGTTTCTAATTTCAAAATAAGACTTTTTCCAGGTGATTGACAGATTCTGCTTGCCTTTCTTTTTTTGATACCTGATTTCTATTTACAGTCTTAAACAATGAGGTGGTCCTAATTACAGGTGAAAATATATCATAGAAGGCATGGGACTAAAGTCAGGAAACTGAATTTGGGACTAATCACCCCAAATTCTGGTTATGTGTCACTAACTTTCCAAATTTATAAAATAAGTGTATAGTAATGTAGTAGCTCATTTTCTGAGTTCCTTAGCTTAGATGATAAGAACATTCCTGATATGCTTGAAACAGGCTACTTGAAATCATTCTAAATATAGCTTTAGTAAAATAATAAAAATTACATCATGAAATATTTTATTATAAAAGTTAATTGTATGCATTTTTATTCAATTAGAGTAAGTCACTCATACTAATTCTAGTTATAATAATTTGGAAGTTGTCCATATATCCTGGTGATCTCTGTTACAAATCAACCCAAACCATCATGAGTTAAAGCTATCATGGATTTTATTTACAATTTTGTGAGTCAAGAACTTGAAAATGATTCAACCAGGGGATTCTAGCTTAGAGTCTCTTGGGTTTCTTAAACAAGAGTGAGGTGCTGAGGTTGCAGTCACCTGAAGGCTAAATGTCCAAGGTGGCTCCTTTTTACAGTTGTAGTTGAGACTGCATGTTCTTTGGAAGCTCCTATACTGCTCTCAGTGGGAGCACCATGTGGTGGTACTTCTCAGCATATCTGTTAGATCCTTTCTGCAAAGGAGTAGTCTGAAGAGAAACATTCTAAGTAACACACTATAGAAGCTGAGAAGCCTTTCCTGACCTGGACCTGAAAGTCATGCAGAGTTGCTTCCACTGTGTTCTATTAGTCATGCAAAGTCAGTTAGAACAGACCAGATCCTAGGAGAGCAGCGTTAGTATCACAAATATACAGCCATTTTTAGTCTACCATACCGAGTGCCATATTTATGAATATTATTGAAAGAGGAAATCATACAATCGAATTTTGGCCCTAAAATTAATTATAATTGAATGAAAAAGTAAGGATATCATCATTTTTAAATTATGTTTTCTAACTATGAATAATGTGCATTTTAAAAATCACAAGGTTAAATTGGTTACATTAGCCCACAGGTTAATGGAATAATCTTATTTTGAAACCCAAGAATGTTAAAATCCTTTTAATTCTACACATCAGTATGCTTTCAAACTCAATAGATCATCTTGTCAAATATGCTGCAGAATTTTGCGGATATAATGAGAATATTGAGAGAGTATTGTTATTCATCTCCATGTAACAGATTCTTTCAGCTGAGCAAGGAACTCCAGATCCAAGAGCCTAGGAGACTAATCCTGTGCTGAGGAAAAGTGGGTAGCTCTTGTGGAGTCTGTGGTTGGAGAGAAGAATAGCTAGATCTCAGGAACCACTGCCTTAAATCAGCCCTTTGTATCAGACCACCCAGTAATGAGCTTGGACTTCTGCTGGAAAGCTGAGGAAGATAGATGCTGGAAGAGCTAACAACTGAAAGTAGTTAGCTAACCACATGCCTCACAGCTGCTTAGTAAATCCTTCATTGCAAAGGGACCTGAGACTTAATCAACAAAGTTTTTTTTTGCCATTGATTATCAACAGTATTTTTACTAATCAACATTTTGTTGATTAATTAGTTTAAAATGGAAGATTTGCCTCTCTTGTGTTTACTGGGAATTATGAAGAAACTTAGTTTTCTGAAAATATGCTCACTTTTAAAATTCTTATATTTTATTCCCGGAGAAATTTTTCATGACGTTCACAATTTCACAACTTTAAATTAGGTAGATGGTAATATATTATTTACAGTTATTTGCAGACTAGCACATGCTAAATATTATATGCCATCAGAAGAAAATTCATAAAAGCCTTCTCTATCAATAACTGTGTAAATGAATTTTAGTGACCCAGAATTTTGTATTGTCTAACAAACAAAATGAAAGCACTTTCAAGGGAAAATAAGATGAAGTGATGGTGTCATTTACTATGTTTGGTGCTAATAATATGCTAAAGAAATAGAGTCTAAATGCTCAAGCAGGGAGAAAAAGGAATTAAAGTAATCCAATGAAACCGGGGGAGAAACAAAGAACTCAAGAAATTTTGTATGGAATAATATTTTGTTTAGATATTATGGCTTATCCCCTTTCCCTAAAAGAATGGGAAGTAAAGGAAAACTTTCCACTGAGGTAAGTAGTAGTTTATATTAGTCTTAGAGTATGAGATATTGTGTAAAATGGAGAGATGAGATGAAAAGAGGGCAGTAAAATCCCAAGATGTTCATGTGTAAAGCAAGGAGACATAAAGCAACAATGAATTTCAAATCTGTAGGAGTGAACAGAGATTAAAAGGTGGGTGGAAATCAAAAATTCTGAAGCTTTTGAAATAAGTAAGTAAAAGATAATGAAGGGAACAATATGCCATGCCAAAGAGTTTGGGCTTTTTTTTTTTTCCTTCCGAAAAAAAGATGATATTCTGTTAAATTAGGAAGAGGAAGAATTCATTCCCAATTAGAAAAATCTCACTGATAAATAGGAAAAGTGATAGATGTAAGAAAAAACATTTTAGGGACTATTGTAGAAATTCAAGTAAGGAGCAATGAGTTCCTAGAGTAAAGCAATGTGAACTAGAGAGGACCAAGTCCAAGAAATATGAGGGAAGTAGAGGTTAATGAATTAGGTATCAGATTAGGTTCATAGTGAGTAGGAGCTGAGAGTATTGAGTGACTTCCTAGTTGTTATTTTAAGGAATAGGAACATAAAATAATCAGAAGTGAAGTTTCAGGGTGGGACAAGAGCAGAGCTGCATGTTGAGTTGTCATGTGTGTGGGACAGTGCTATCTATGTCTTCAGGAAGTAGAAATATTAATGAGCTGCAACTTAGAGTCAGGGGACTCTGAACTGAGGATAGTAGTTAGCAGCACAGAGTGGGAAGGGTCAGGGTATGGATCCATTGTGTACATAGAGGCCATCACTGTGGGTAGCCTGCACAGTGAGAAGATTAAATGCCCAAAGATTTCCAGTGAGAGGGTCACATATCATGGGTGATGAGACTGCTTAATGGCCACAGGTCTGAGAATTAATATTTAATTAAAACAGGGGAACAAATTATAAAGTATCTCTTTGAGAGTATGATTATTTTTATTTCACTCACTATATATGCACAAAAATAAGAGGAAAGAATCAAGAATTACTCACTTCAGTCTGAAGCAACATAATGGACTAATTTGATAGATAGATGGATGATTCTTATATACAATCATGTATAACATAATAACATTATTGGATACATTAGCTTGTTTTTTCGTTAGAATATAATATTAAAAATATCATGCTATAGAGGAAATTTGAGTTTCACTATTCAGATGTGATTATCTCTCACTGTGTGAAGTTGACTTTCTTTATTAAGAGCAAAGTGAAAGAGCTAAGCTTATTATACTGTTTCTTTGATGTTTTTATAGGATATAATGAAAGATGAATGCTCTATGCTCAAGTTACAGCTGAAGGAGAGGGATGAACTTATTTCCCAACTTCAGGAAGAACTGGTAAGTGACAACAATATTTAGCCAACAGAGTGTACTTTTGTTATAGACCCTTAATACTATTACTTATTTATAAATACTGTTAATGATTCAATCTGTTTATCAACTTTATAATTCTATAGTAATAAAAACTATAGGTCTTTGACAAGATGGAAATAGAAATATGTGTGAAAATTTATGTAATTCTAAAAATAGATCTTGAAACCAGGGTTAATCATTTCAGATTATCTATCAAAAATTTGAAGGCAAAGGCTATATTGTGTTTTGTAAAGTGCATGATATAACTTCTATGAAGCAAAGTACACGATAATACTGAAAACAAGATGTATTTTACTTTTTATTTTTCATAAAGTATGAAGTGTAGCTTTTTATATATATAATCCACAAATAAAGTAAAACACAAAATATATATAGTTCAAATTTTAGTTATTTTATATGGCATTATTAAAGAATATCAGGAAGGAATCATACCTTCACAACATGAAATATACTTGGTAGATAACAGGAAGTTCTGTGGCCAATAGTTTTCTAAGTATGCATTTTCAAATTATGGATCTGTGTAAACAGTAGTTTAAAATAAAATGTGAACACGCTGCATATACATAAAACTCATAGTACTATAAAACAAGAATTAAGAAGTGAGAAAGATTTTTTTCAAACTCATCAAGACCTCTCATAATGTGAGTAAACTAAATGCTGTAAAACAAACTGATCCATTATCAAGATCAAAAACCAAATTGTAGCCAACAATATTCTTTATGATTGTTTTATATTTTGGCTACATTGACAATGTCATGTTATGTAACTGTTAAATAAAATTAAATGATGAAGCAGACTTTCTAGAACAAGGCTTCCGAAAACTCCTAACATTAATGACATATGAGACCAATTTAGAGCATTTCTTATTACTGACTCTTGATGACAGTGTTTTTTACCAAAATTTGATCTTTATTTAGACTGTGTTCTGTGATTGGATTTATGGTGTTTATTGGTCTCCGGAACATATAATTGTGACTTTTAGAAGACCTATAAACCATTACTGAAAACAGGAATAGTATTATAGACAAAAGGAATACATCTTACATTACTGAAAATAACCTTTTATAAATATATATGTAATGTTCATGATACAAAGTTTATATATTACATATTGAAAGCATTTTATATTGATACAGCCCTCTAGGAATATATTATAAAATCAAGCTTTATTTATGTAGCATACAAAAATATCTTTGAATTTAATGAATATCAAATATAGATGTTTTTGAAGTTTGGAATTGTCAGTTTTAACATAGAAGAGTATTTATTCATTCACTTTCCCAGAGAGTGCTTATTTTGTATAATTAACTCAGAAAGAAGTATTCATTTTTCCTCTCAACATTAGTTGTGATCAGATTTAAAACATATGGTATATAAGAAATCAGACCTTCATTTGTTGAATGAAATGAAAAAGATAATGATTACTTCCAGAGCCAACACTATATTGTGTTTTGTAAAGTGCATGATATAACTTCTATGAAGCAAAGTACACGATAATTAAAGTAATTCAATACCCCTCCCTCCAAAAAGTCTTACATTGGCTGACATACTAATATAAGGCATAAGTGTAAAATTATTATCTTCTTTTTCCTTTTCTTTAAACTCGAATTTCCCAAATTGGCTCCTTACTCTATAAAATTTCCCAGGTAGTAACCAAGGTACCATTTTAATTTTTGTACCATGTTATTTGCATAATCCTTTTGACTGTTTAATAAAGGAAAAATATGAACTTTTGAAAATATAGTTTGTTTTGTTAAATGATAATTGTTACTAAGTAGGAAAGTGTGTAAGTGATATTTACAAATTTAAGAGAAGAAACCTTAAAAAGCAAAAGGCTCAATAAAATATATGGGGGGGGGCAATCACATATAGTCCACCAGGATCCAAATAACTTCCGATCTTTGTAATAAATAACTTCTGACATTTTGTTAAGGTGAACATTACACTTTGTATTCACCCAAATTTGAAAATTCTAAACAATGTTAGGAGCCAGTTTAGCTGTTACTTATATTGCAGATTCATAATCTATAATAATTGAGAACTGGTTTCATTTTCTATTATTTGTCATGGGTTTCTTCTTTGATGACCCCTGCTATTATCATAAGCAATTTTATTTACCCATACATGGTAACATAAATTTAGATTTAATTAAGCCAAGAAATATTTGCATTAGGTAATTAAGAAATGTTTTTAAAGTAATTATGGTTGCTTATTTAGCCTTACTTTTAACAGTTTGAAAGGTTGGCAAAAGTTAATCAGTGTTTGGGGCAAAAGAGATCATTTTATATGCTTTTTTTTCAGTGATATATTTTTAGGACAGTGCTTCCCCAGCAACAACACTATTGACACTTTGTTGTAAGTGGCTGTGCTGGGCATTGTAGGATGTTTAACAGACTCTCCAACACTCTGCACTAGATGCCAATATGCACCCTGCAGACATTGCCAAATATCCTCTGGGGCCAAAATTACCCCCAGTTGAGAAATATCACTTTAGCGGTGCCAGGTTAAATTATAGTCCCTAAAAGAAATTGTGTTATAGGATAAAAGTTTACCTGTACCCAGAGAAAAACAAGCCCTAGGGATGAGCCTTTCCTTGGGTTCTACTTTTTTAAAAAAATATGACAGCAGAATGCATTACAATTCTTATTACACATAGAGCACGATTTTTCATATCTCTGGTTGTATATGAAGTATATTTACACCAGTTCATGTCTTCATACCTGTACTTTGGATAATAATGATCATCACATTCCACCATCATTTATAACCTCATGCCCCCTTCCTTTCCCTCCAACCCTCTGCCCTATATAGAGTTCGTTTGTCTATTCCTCCCATGCTCCCTCTCCCTATCCCACTATGAATCAGCCTCCTTTTATCAAAGAAAACATTCAGCATTTGGTTTTTTGAGATTGGCTAACTTCACTTAGCATTATCTTCTCTAACTCCATCCATTTACCTGAAAATGCCATGATATTATTCTCTTTTATTGCTGAGTAATATTCCATTGTGTATATATGCCACATTTTTAAAAATTCATTCATCTACTGAAGGGCATCTAAGTTGGTTCCACAATTTAGCTATTGCGAATTGTGCTGCTGTAAACATTGATGTGGCTGTGTCCCTGTAGTATCCTGTTTTTAAGTCCTTTGAGTATAGATGAAGGAGAGGGATGGCTGGGTCAAATGGTGGTTCCATTCTTAATTTTCCAAGAAATCTCCATACTTCTTTCCATATTGGCTGCACCAATTTGCAGTCGCACCAGCAGTGTATGAGTGAGTGTACCTTTTTCCCCACATCCTAGCCAACACTTACTGTTGTTTGTATGCATAAGAGCTGCTATTCTGACTAGAATGAGATGAAATCTTAAGAGTGGTTTTGATTTGCATTTCTCTAATTGCTAGTGATGATGAGCATTTTTTCATATATTTGTTGATTGATTGTATATCTTATATATCATTTCCTGAGAAGTGTCTGTTCAGGTCCTTGATCCATTTATTGATTTTTTTTGTGTGTGTGTGCTTAGCTTTTTGAGTTCTTTATACACCCTAGGGATTATTGCTCTATCTGGTATGTGAGGGGGTAAAGATTTGCTCCCAGGACACAGGCTCTCTATTCACCTCACAGATTATTTCTTTTGCTGAGAAGAAACCTTTTAGTTTGAGTCCATCCCATTTGTTGATTATTTTTTTAAGAGAGAGTGAGAGAGACAGAGAGAGGGAGAGAGGGAATTTTTTTTTTAATATTTATTTTTTAGTTTTCGGCGGACGCAACATCTTTGTTTGTATGTGGTGCTGAGGATCGAACCCGGGCCGGATGCATGCCAGGCGAGCACGCTACCGCTTGAGCCACATCCCCAGCCCCCATTTATTGATTCTTGATTTTAATTCTTGCACTATAGGAGTCTTATTAAGGAAGTTGGGGCCTAATCCTACATGATGGAGATTAAAGCCTACTTTTTCTTCTATTAGATGCAGGGTCTCTGGTTGTATTCCTAAGTCCTTGATCCATTTTAAGTTGAGTTTTGTGCATGGTGAGAGATCGAGGTTTAATTTCATTTTGTTGCATATGGATTTCCAGTTTTCCCAGCACCATTGTTGAAGAGGCTGTCTTTTCTCCAATGCATATTTTTGGCACCTTTGTCTAATATAATATAATATAATTTTAATTTTGTGGATTAGTCTCTGTGTCCTCTATTCTGTACCACTGGTCTACCAGTCTGATTTGGTGCCAATAGCACGTTGTTTTTGTTACTATTGCTCTGTAGTATAGTTTAAAGTCTGGTATAGTGATGCCACCTGCTTCACTCTTCCTGTTAAGGATTGCTTTAGCTATTCTGGGTCTCTTATTTTTCCAGATGAATTTACAATTGCCTTTTCTATTTCTATGAGGAATGTCATTGGAATTTTGATCAGAATTGCATTAAATCTGTATAGTGCTTTTGGAAATATGGTCATTTTGATAATATTAACCCATATTAATATTAATAATTAATATTAAACCCTACTCCTTGGGTTGTACTTTATGTAGGTATTTGCATATTGTTTTAGTTACTTGGGATGCTATACCAAATTATGTTAAATTGAGTAGCCTAAACAACAGAAAGTTAATTTTTCACAGTTCTGAAAGTTGGAAGCCTGGGGTCTAGGTGCCAGCATGACTGTTTTCAGGTGAGGATTCTCCTGGCTGACAGAAAGCCATCTTCTCACCATGTGCTCACATGGCTTTTCTTTAGTACATGCACACAGAGAAAGAGAATGTGAAAGCAAGCCTTCTGTGTCTGTTTATATAATCCCATCATGAGGGTCCCATACCTACAGACCTTACCTACTCCCAAACATCTTCCAAAAGCCCCTTTTCCAAATATCATCACATTGTGTGTTAGGACTTCAATATATGAATGGGGGAAGGCACCATGCAGTCAATAGCACGTATTATTTATGTTCATTCATGCTTGTTTAATGTTA